GTGCCCGACCTACTTATTTATTTTTTAAATGCCAATTTGACCAACTACATTGATTTCACAACCCCACAAGTCAGTTGGAATCCACAGTGTGGATAAAAAACTAATCTAGAAGGATTTTGTACATTTCATACATTTTGTATATGTGGATACCACTTTCAAATATTAATTCATGAGATTTCCTGTTGTATGCCCCTTTTTCCATTCCCTCATTCAATTTTTCAATCAATCAGTTCCAGAAAGGAGTAGCAGAAAGCAAACTACTCTTTCCACCTTTCCAGGTTTTATTTTTCCAAAAATGTAATCCCAAAAGAAAACTTAAAGGTTTTAGAGGTACAAGAAGTTACAAGGCACAAGGAAAAAACAGAAGGCAGGAAAAGTCAGATACGCTCAAAAAACAAGGATTCTCACCAGACTAAAAAGAGGTTCTCCGCAACTGGTGGGGTTGGGGGAAGAGTCTGTGCACCCTAAATAATGGCTTTGTGGTACATCCTAGAGAAGGCACAGCATCCTACGGTAGAAGGACAATGTGCTATGTCAAGTAAATGGGATCATGGGCAGACCTGTACAAAGATTCACCTGTCTATATGTTGAACAAAAGCAATGCAGAATGCTGCAGGTCCCACAGGATAGGATCACATGGGTAGGACCAACGAATGCCTAAGTGGTGACCTTTGTGAATGAGCAGTCAAAGACCAGAAGGCAAGCATGTGCATGAGGGCATCCCCCCCATACACCTGGCAGTGCATTAGCACCTAGAACGATAGCATCTTCCTGGGATTAGGAGGGTACAGATGAAAGTCCCAAGAAGGATATGGGTTAAATGTTTCACCAACTGTGCAGAAACAGAAATACATTGATTCTGAAAGGGAAAAAGATATTTTTTACACTAAATTAATGAATTAAGATTAATATATGCAATGATATCAATGCGACTATATAAATGTATTTGCATTATAATGTCTAAAAAGTGCTAGCTTAGTCAACATAAACACCAATAGTCCACACAGAGAAAACAGTACTAGAGTGAAATATTTTTAAAAATAAGTCTGTGATATTAAAATAGCCATCGGATAGATTTTTTTAAGAGGATAAAGCAAAATTATCTGCTTTATTTCCCAATGGGTCTGCTCATTTTTTGCCCCAAGAATTCATATAGGTACCAAATTAAAATGCATAGCCAAAAGAAGATTTCGTGACATGACTGCACTAGCTGGAAACCCACTTTTTCTTTTCTTTCATTACCGCTTTTCAATACCTTATGTCACCAGTCATTTCTCTAATGGTGTGTGTCAGCGTGTGTGTGTGTGTATGTGTTCTTTTTATTTTAGGACTTCAGTAAGTAAAGTCTTAATTAGTGATGTCATAGTTAGCTCATCCTCTAGTTAAATCAGCATCTAGAGAATCATCCTTTAAGAAGAAAATATTTAAGTCTATCTCCCTTGAAGCTTTCTTCTTCTGACTGCCTGATGGATGAGCTATGCCTTTCTTGTCTCAGAATTGTTTTCCCACTGATGAGACACTCTTCTCCTTCCAGGCACCAGAATCTAATTTAAACTAGTTCCTGTGAAGATCCAAAATGTCTACAAACATCTTTTTCCTGTATTTTTCAAGGCAGAGAAAATATAAGATAAAAGTAAAAATAGACATTTTCTGTATTCTATTGTGTATTGTACTGCATTCCGGATGAAATGTGAGTGCAAAGTTGTTAATTCATAGAACTTGTCAAAGATGATCTCTATGTATCTAAGACACTGACATTTCCTGGAGTGCTGTCAAAGCAGCTGATACTTTTGATATTTCCTAAGAGTAATTCTTCCAGGCAAGGCAGGCATGTAATATTCCTTTAAGGATTTTCTACTTTGGAAGCTGCTTTGTCACAAACATCCTCCTTCCCTTTGGAAACAGGATCTCTCTGGTTTCATGTCCCCTTCCTGAACTGAGTCCATCTTTTCTTTTACATGTGAATATTTTATATGTCTTCGGTAAGTGTCAGAGTTTCTATGGGCACTCAGCAAAAGGCATGGCTCTTAAAAATTTTTTCATTCATATATTAATATAATCAACCTAGGAAGTCACAGGTGCATCAAGGGAGACAATAAATTTCCTTTTCTTAAACGTATCTACTGTAAATGTGGCCTATGGTGTGTAGCAACATCACATAACAAATATGTTATTTTCCAGTGAAACAATAGGATATTTCCTCCACCACCACAACTACCTAAATGAAATAAATTACACCAAGTTAATTATTTTCGTTAAACTCAATTGTGAAAGTCTGTGTTTTTCCATAAATTATAGAAATAGTGTCTAAGTTTTGAACAGAAACAGAATTAATAGGCCCTCCATTCAAACAATAATGAGTTCTACTACCTTCCTCTGCGATTCAGGTACTTTCTAACATTTTTCTCAAAGTCTAAATGTCTCAGAAGTTTCTTATTTACTTTGCCTTTGAAAAGTCAAAAAAGTGAAAATTTTAATTCTATCAGTCCTATTGAATTAGTCATTGACTACTTATGGCAGCGTTTTTATTGAGCATGTGGATGTTAGATTCCTGCAATACAACTTCAAGTGCTGGATTTAACCATGAGATCCTGGGCAAAGTACTTAGCCACATGAAGCCTCAGTACTCAGTATCCTAGTCAGTAAGATGGCAATAGTAAAATAGAGAAGGATCTAATTCACAATATTACTGGAATGATTAAATGGGACATTTGTAAAAGATCTTAAGAAAGAGTCTGACACCTAATAGGTGCTAGATAAATTGTGGCTAACATTATTATTATCTTATTATCTCCATGTAAATTACAGTTGCTAGAAGTTGGTGGATATGGGCCCAAGGAAGTTTTTCCCTTCAGAGAGCTCACTGTTTCATGGGGAGGAGTGACAGATACATAAGTCAATGGCTAGTCCCTGTGTAAGGGACTGTACTAAAAGTACCCAGAACAGATTATTAAACAGAGAAGGAAGTCATTAGTTCTCAATGGGGATATCAGAAAAGTTTTCAGGCAGAGACAACATTGCTCAAACTTTGAAGGATGAGGTAAGCAAGTATGTTCAAGGAGGAATACAGGGGAAGAGGAGGAAGTTGTGTGCAAGACGACATTGAGTTGTTAAAACGCTGTCCTCAGATCACAGTAGAGACCCTGCCTTAATAAATATGCAGAGGATAAATGAAAGCATTATGAAAGGTCTATCATAGCTTCAAAAGAACGTGTTGACTTCTCTTGATTTCTTTCTTTCTTTCTTTTTTGACGGAGTTTCACTCTTGTTGCCCAGGCTGGAGTGCAATGGCGTGACCTCGGTTTACTGCAACCTCCTCCTCCTGAGTTGAGGTGATTCTCCTACCTCAGCCTCCTGAGTAGCGGGGATTACAGGCATGCGCCACCACATCCAGCTAATTTTTATATTTTTAGGAAAGACAGGGTTTCATCATGTTGGCCAGGATGGTCTCAATCTCTTGACCTCGTGATCCGCCTGCCTCGGCCTCCCAAAGTACTGGGATTACAGGCGTGAGCCACACTGCCCAGCCAACTTCTTTTGTTTTAAGTGGTGCTTAATCATTTGGTGGTTTGCATATTCCAAAAAGCTTCTAAATATTTGTGTTGAACCAATGCTGTCATTCAAAAACAGAATGCTTCTTGGGCTGAATGGCACTATGTCATCCCAGCAAGAAGAAGAGCATTGGAATCTAATTGTGTCATCCATGTTCTTATTTTAAAACAATCTACGGTAACACCCTTCCAGCCAAGAAACGTTCAGTCAGTTGAACAGATGTGATGTGTTGTTCTCCCTGATGCATTAGCCTCAACCTCTGAGTTCATGAAATTCTGAGTTTCTTTCTGTAGCATGCTGTGTTCATTCATCAGCCTGAGTCATTTTATCTGATTGGGTCCAATCTCCCCCCACTTGGCCCGCCTCCTTTTGCTGCTGAATAAATCATCCTGGGAGCTGTCCAGGTTGGAGAAAGATTTTCATAGGAAAGTTCCAACTGCATCCAGCCCCTCATTTATTCAGGCTGAGTCCTTAGGGCCCCAAGGAGAAAGAACTGAGAAAATAAAGAGATGTCTTCCATTGCCAAGTTTGTTAATATGGTCATTAGCACAGATGCCGTGGGGCAGTGCTCACACAGAGAGGACACAGCTCCCCACACATTCTGGTTCAGGGTCTATAGGACAGCCCTCCCAACTGTGCTCCGTCTGGGTTCCCAGCTCAAGTCAAGAGACTCATTACCCACCCGAATTCCAGTAGGGTGAGGCTGATGAGTTCAAGGAATTCAGGAAAGCAGCAGCAGGAAGCATGTCTTTCACAGGAATGTAATTCCAGGGATTATTTCATTAAGGGCTAGATAACTGCAACACAGAGTTGTTTGAGGTGCTTTCATCCTTAACTTCCAGCCCCATGGGATAGGCCAATTATTCTGGGAGATCTTTAGAGTTAACACATTAATTCATCTACAAGCAGAGTTAAAAGTAGAATCAGCCGTCTATCTATTTAAAGTTGAGCGTTTCATTTTGGCTTTCTTGAGGGATGGTAGAATACAACTTTAAAGGACTGGAATTAGGGGAGTCTTTTCCATGGAGTGAACGAAATTCTAGAAATCTACTGGTTAGGGACTAGGGGAAATGTTAGAGGATTCTTTTGTCTTCCTTTTGGAATTCTGTGTGCAAGGCAGGTGACCCGTTCCGGGTTTAACCCGAAGTCCAAATGCGTGGGGGAAAAAAAAGAATTAAAAAGCAAAAAATTAAATCCCGCGTTTCTGGGACACGGCCGACAGAAATAACCCTGGAGACAATGTCTGTGGTTGGGGGTGGGGAGATCGAAATTTATTTTTCCTTAGGACAGGCAGGAGGGATAGGATCTTCTCTTCTCGCTCAGGAGGGACTGAGGGGGCGGCAAGGCAAGGCGGTCATTCGGGCTTTCATGGGACGCCACGGGGAGCAGCGAACGCGCCCAGGGCCTGACGTCATTGACCATCAGCTGACTGTGCTCTGGGCCCGGGCTCCACCGGCTGCAGCCGCAGTCTTGGTGGCGGAGGTGGTGACCACCACCGCTCCTCCACCTGCATCCGGGTGCGGGACTGGGGCGGCCGCGTTTGCCCGGCAAACCCTGCACCCCCGGGACGCGGCTCATCAGGCGTTAGCACCGGCACTAAGCTCCCACCGCGCAGCGACTTGGTCCGCCGCAAGCGCCGCCGCAGGCTTTGTCCGCGAGCGCTCGGCTGAGCCTGGGCGGGCGGGAAACCTGGCTAGGGCGAGGCGGGACCCCGGACATGCCTTTCTCCACGTCCGCCTCCTCGACCCTTATTGTAAGCGGAGAAACTTAGTGTGTGAGGCAGGCATGGGAAGTCCCCATTTTAATGTCCCGTACCCTTCCCTCTGGATCGAGGTAGTAAAGAGGCTCCTGTAGGAAACTGACTGCCTCTATGATTGCGGCTTCTTGGGGGATTTTGCGTTTAGCCCGAAAGTTGGCTTTGCCAAAAGACGCACGGGTAGGAAGGGCGGAAAGGAGACCCTGTATTCCGTCGCGCTGGGCTCTCCGAGTCCGTGGGCAAAGCGGCCTACGAGTCCTGGCTCCGCACCTGCAGAGGACAAGAGCCAATGCCTAAAAAAGAACAGCGGAGGAACCGGTTGGCGCGGCCAGCTGGAACGCTGGATCTCAGCGCGCCCCGGGAAGGCCGGGGGCGCCCGCCCGCCCTAGCCCTCAGTGGTCCTCTCCCACACCGGCCCGTGCGTGCCGCTTTCTACAAGACCTGGGGCGTCCTGGCCAGATCTGGGTGGCAGGTCCCTCCGCCACCCCCCGCCCAGTTCCAGGGGCGTGGCTTGGCGCGGGGGCGGGTTTAAGTCACCGCGGGTGTCTGACCGCTCTGACAGGTCTCCAAATTCCTCCCGGTAGCCTGGTGCCCGCAGCGCGTTTCAGAGCTCCAGGGTGGCACGCGGCGGCGCTTCCCTGGATCCAGAGGCGTCTCTGTCGACTTCCACTCGGCCTCGGGCCTCCCTTCTCCACACCTTCGCCTTATCCGCCAAGCTTCGGTTCTCAGCCTCGGATATCCGCACCGGCGTCTTCTCTTCGTTCTCAGAGCTCTTGGCTTTGGAGACCTCCCCACTTTTTCCTTCCCCCACCTCCTGCTCCTCTTAGCTCCGAGCCAAATGGACTCCAAAGAACGAAGTAAAGGGGATGGGAACTGTGTGCTGCGACCCTTCGAAAGCACAGCTGAAAGCGTGGACCTCGTCTTATAGCTCAGGCTGGGACCCTGGGGCGAGAGTCCCCGCACCCACTCCCGGAGGGATGCTTCTGGCCGGAGCCAGCGCTGCGCTGTCAGTCCTTGCTCCGCAACTAGGAACGAGCCTAGGAGGGAGCCTCAGCATACCCCTTCCTTAAAATTAACTATTTGGTGAATTGTTAGCGCCGAGGCTACCACCTCTCCAACCCTGTCGCGGGGCGCCCCGCCACCTCACCGTGCCCCCCTCCTCCTCCTTCTTTGCCCCCGCCCCCAGCTCCGCCCCTGCTCCCCATCCCGGCGCAATGGAGTTCTCCGAAAGGCGATGATTCCAGCCACATCTGCTAACTTCGCACCCATCGCTGCCGCCGGTCACCCCCGGCCAGGACCCCTGAAACCGCGGAGCAGTGGGCGTCCAGAGCCCAGTGCTGCAGCCAGGCCCGCCCGACGCGCGGCAGAAGCACGGCGCCCAGGCTCCTAGGCGTCTCTTGGAGAGCAAAGGCTGCGCCAAAACGCTGAGCCTAGAACCAACCAAGGAGCCTGAGCCCAGGAAGGGGCTGCGTGGCTCAGAGCCCTGCGGCTCCTGAGGACAAATAGCCACTGCCGCTGCGTACCCAAGCTGCGCCGGTTGGCGGGAGAGCAGCGCGCAAGGACGCGGAGGTCCGCCGCAGTCTTCCAGGTGCCCTTTGCCCCGGGCACAGTATGACCTGACCTACAAGGAGCCCTGGCGCAGGGCTCCTGCAACCGGACAGCCTAGGATAGAAAGGATCGCTGCCAAGCTCCTACCAGCTTGCCTTCAAGTCTTTAGGAACCCCGTCCTCCGGCTGCCTCCCCAGGCTTCTGCGCCTCCTTCCCTGCGGCCCAGCGCCATGGAGCTCTCCGATGTGCGCTGCCTTACAGGCAGCGAGGAACTCTACACCATCCACCCGACGCCCCCGGCCGGCGACGGCAGGAGCGCCTCCCGGCCGCAGCGGCTGTTGTGGCAGACGGCGGTGCGGCACATCACGGAGCAGCGCTTCATTCACGGGCACCGGGGAGGCAGCAGCAGCGGAAGTGGAGGCTCGGGCAAAGCATCGGACCCTGCGGGCGGCGGCCCCAACCACCACGCGCCGCAGCTGTCAGGCGACTCGGCGCTGCCCCTCTACTCGCTGGGCCCGGGAGAGCGAGCGCACAGCACCTGCGGCACCAAAGTCTTCCCGGAACGCAGCGGGAGCGGCAGTGCCAGCGGCAGCGGAGGCGGGGGCGACCTGGGCTTCCTGCACCTTGACTGTGCCCCTAGCAACTCGGATTTCTTTCTCAATGGGGGTTATAGCTACCGAGGGGTCATTTTCCCCACCCTGCGCAACTCCTTCAAATCTCGAGATCTGGAACGCCTCTACCAGCGCTATTTCTTGGGCCAGAGGCGCAAATCGGAAGTGGTGATGAACGTGCTGGACGTGCTGACCAAACTCACTCTCTTGGTCCTGCACTTGAGCCTGGCCTCGGCCCCCATGGACCCGCTCAAGGGCATCCTGCTGGGCTTCTTCACCGGCATTGAAGTGGTGATCTGCGCCCTGGTGGTGGTCAGGAAGGACACCACCTCCCACACGTACCTGCAGTACAGCGGCGTGGTCACCTGGGTGGCCATGACTACCCAGATCCTAGCAGCAGGCCTCGGCTACGGGCTCCTGGGCGACGGCATAGGCTACGTGCTCTTCACGCTCTTCGCCACCTACAGCATGCTGCCGCTGCCGCTCACCTGGGCCATCCTGGCCGGCCTGGGCACCTCGCTGCTGCAGGTCATCCTCCAAGTGGTCATCCCCCGGCTGGCGGTCATTTCCATCAACCAGGTAACTCCTGCCTGCCTTGCATTTGTTTCCCCTCTAACTTCCCCGGGTTATTAATCATATAGCTTCCAGAGGGCCAGGGTTGCCTCACTCTCTTTAAGTCTCCTCCTTCAGTCTGGCACAGTGCCTTGCACCTAGGAGGTCTAAAGTGTTAGCGGAATGCAATCTCTTCTTAAAGTGGAACTAAATGACCTCTAAAAGTTTCTACCAACTCTACCCTTGTACTCGGATTCTATGAGTAATTCTACTCTGACATCAGCTAAGAAAGTCTGCTTTCCGCTCCTCATTCCCCTCCCTCAGGGTCCGCAGTCTCTGGAGCATGAGACAGAAGGGGAGGGGAAGCATCCAGATTTAGAAGGTGACCCATTCCTTAATAGCTCTCCTCAGGAGAGTCGCAGCAGGGTGTCTAGGGGGTTCTGGGCTTCAGAGTTGGGTTTTTCCATATCTCTAAGCCACAAACCCTCAGTTCTCAAAGGAACATACATTTGTTAAACACATACTGACTGTCAGTGCTGAGTACTGTATGTGTTATTTCATCCAGTCCTTCAAATAATCCTATGACACATGGTTTTCTCGGGAATTTTTTATTGCCTTGGTGACCGAACATGGTATCTTCTCTCATGACAGGATGCGACCCCAGTGCTTTGAATAAACCAAACTCAGTAATTGGGGGTGGCAAAGAACGCAAGTTTTGATTAATTGGAAAAGAGCATTTTGATGTAGATGGTGTAAATATTATATTTAGGTGAAATCTTGTTCTTTAGGCATCTTTCTCTCCTTTCTCCTCCTTTTTTTTCTATTCTTCCCCTTAAATATGGATATGCTTATGTGAACACAGTTCATATTGTCTATGGATGAGAAGGTAGACAATGTTTCTCTTGTTTGAATTTACTAGAACCAATAGATAATTAATGGCATGGCACTGTCTTTGCAAAATGTATGGTAGGTAACAGGAGAGTGAATTTGGGGGGTTCTCAAAAATGAGGGAAACATGTCAAGTGAAGTATTTTCAAATAGATGACTGGTGTGACATGCATGGTCAGGGGTCTGCTTTGTGTGGGTCCACCCTGTCCTCAGCCTCTGTATCATTTCTGCTGCATTAGAAGCTTAAAACTCCTCTTCTTTATGGGTGAATTGGAATAGATAGTGCTTAGAATAAACAGGCACAACCCCACTGAAAATTGCTCATGATGTTTAGGTTGCCAGCGCTGTTAGAGTGCTTCACCCATCATTGGCCTCCTGGACTTCTGGTCAAAGTGGGATCCTGTCTCTTCTCCGATGGTTCTGGATTCCTTTGCTCAGGTGACTTATCTGATTGGCTGCTTTTACAGTGCTTTCTGAAGTCTCTCTGGGTAAAGCAAAGAGTACATAAATTACATGCCTGTGATTATCAGGCATGAAATGGAGAGATGAGAGACTCTGAGTAAGGGCTGATTGACTGAACTTTTTCTTATTAAAGGCAATAATGAATGTGTTATCACAGTCACCATGAAACTTTATATCCACATATAACAAATAAGTCTTAATCTGGGAAGTAGAAGTCAAATTCTTTGGTATTAACTATCTCTCAATTGTGTTTACATGAAGACCTACATGCCAGCACATCTAAATCTATTCTTCCAAGCTCTCTCATTCTCTTTTTTAATTTTCTTTGTTGTATACTTAAACATTAGCAGATCTTTTCTTCCCTGTCTTCCTCCCCTTCCTTCTTTCTCCTTCTCTTTGCCTTCTCTTTTTTTACCTAACTCACTATGAGTTGTTTTCACGATAAAGCATAGCTATCTGATCATGTATAAGAAACTCCATGTATTATAACCCACTGCTTTTCATGCAATAGCCTTTCTCAGTACGCACAACTAGAAAATTTAATAAGTAAGTTAGGAATAGTATTTAGAATAACACATCCTAAGTGGCAAATTATGAGTGTTTTCAAAGTTCTAAGTATAGATATCTTTTTCTTGCCAAGTGAATCCAGAAAGTAAATTTGGCTCCATATTTGTTTTATACTCTACTCAAATACTACCAGATGGGAGAAGATTAAAAATAACCCCCAAATGTCTTCCCACCCTCATCTCATCATAAACAATTCTCCACTGTGAAAACCAAGGTCCTGATGCATGTAAACCAAGTTCATTCAATTTTTTGTTTGGGTTAGAATTATAGATAAACTACGATTTCATAGGTTGAGTCACCTGTTACCAAAACTCTAGAGGAACAACCAGAGCGCTCTCCCCTCACTTCAGTGCTGAAAGGGCCTCTAAAGGTCCTTTGGCGCCCTCTATGGGCTTAAGAGTCTTTCCTAGATCTTGCAGATGGACAAAGTAGAGAATAAATCACTTTTTATAAGAATCTGTGATTTTTAAATAGGTACTATTTAGTTTTCCATGTCTAGTAACATATAAAGAATGCTCAAAACCTGCTAAACACTTCTTAGAGCAACTAGAGTAAAATCCTAACTGCTTACCACAGCATGCTTGATTCTCTGAACTAGTTGCTTCTTCTCTCTCCAACCATATTTCCTTCTCTTCTCTCTTCTTTTCTCTTCATTAGGCTCCAAATATGCCATTCATTTTTTGCCATATTCTAAGCTCTTCCTAATTGTGGGTCTTTTCACCTGCTACCTAGAGCAATTTTTCCAAAGTCTTTATAAGACTGGCACATTCTAATTGTTCCAGACTCTCAAATGCTACTTTCTCTAGTAAATGACTTGTTTTATTTTCTCCAGAGCACATCTGCTATCTGAAATTATCTTATTTGTTTATATCTACTGTTTGTCCTCCACACCCTCACAAGAATGTAAACACCATAAGGGCAAGGATGTTGTCTATCATAAATAGCATTTTATCCTCGGCCTCTAGAAAAATGCCAGACATATAGTAGGTATTCAATAAATGGTCACTGAATGAACAGATAATTCATCATATAGGAAATATTATAAAATATCCAAGTGCCCTGGTGTTGTGTCGGTGAAAACTTTCTACAAACACACACACACACACACATCATATGCGTGCAAGGCAGTCTTACACATAAATATCTTTTAAAGAAGTCAAAAACTATAATAATCCTTTACTTTGCACAGTATTTTACATGTAACTAAGCACCCTTATGTGCATCATCACATCTAATGATGAAAAATAGATGGTATCATCCTTTATTTTCATTTCAGAGAAAAAAATGACAGATTCCTAGAAACTTTACAGTGATATCCTGAGGATCAGGAACCTAGCAAGCAGTAAGGACAGAATTCAAACCCTTACTCCAATGCCAATTATTCTTCAGAAACTCTCTAGTGATTATCTTTCTAAACACGTAAGCATTTGAAACTATTAAAGAGTGAGGAGTACTTCTTCTACTACTTAAGAGAGTAAATTCTGTATAGCACATGAATAAACATTTAATGAAGAAGCCAAAGGGAAATTATGAGAGAAAAATGAGTGAATTGCTGGGAATAGGCTCATTGTAGCTAACTCATCATTCTGCTTAGCTGGATGCAAATCTATCAACTAAAGGCCATAAACACTGGAATAGCATCTTTCTCCACATTAATCTTCATTCTCTTTGGTAGGATGGCTAATGTTTAACTTAGAATTATCAAGAATTAGGAAACGAAAATGAGAGTATAGAGTTAGCGCACCTTGGCAGCTGTTTCACTTCACTGAAAATGTCATTTTTGAAAGGAACAAATGAGCCAATGATTGCCTCCCTTTAATCTAAGCTATGAGAATCTGCTTTCCCTCTTTCTACCCTGAAGGAAATGACATCTGTGACTTGACAGGGTAGCAACCACACTGCAAATCTCTGCAGACACCCTATAAGAAGAGACAAAGCCCTGTGTTCATTGAATCACCATTTGCTTTCCACTGCGGATATAAAATGGAACCTAAAAGGGGCCACTCAGGAAGTTCCCTGCCATCAGCAAAGAGATGGTTTATGTTTTCTCTATTCAATTAACACACTACAAACATTGACTTCCCACCCAACAATGAGATTATTGTCTAGAGCAGACATAATCACCCATATGTTTTCTGCATCTGGAGTGGCATTGGAAAGATTGAGAAACTTTCAGGAGGTTCAAAACCCAGTTTGAAGGGTTCCTTTTATTTCACTCTGACTTAGCTCAGCTATAGGTAGCACTAGGGCTACAATCATTTCTTTCTTATGAAACCGCACCCAATTCAAGTTAAATAAGCCTCAAACCAATAATAGGAATACCTTGTCCAGATTTCCCTAAGACACTGATTTACTTTTCCCACATCATAAACCAATTGTTTGTCTCACCAATTCGATTTATCCACCAGTAAATTCATTACAAAATGATGTTATATATGTAAATAAAGGATTAATGATAAGATTATATTTGCTAGGTTCTTTCACAAGATAGATAAATTCTAAACGCTATTGCTATAGCTAGCATTTTACTCTATTTTAATTGCTGGTGACAATAATCTGAGTTATCTTACATTTGAAACTCATCTCATTCTCATTCTTTAGCTCATTAGTGATAAGATGGTAGAAATCATTTAGTTATTGGAAAACTGAGAGGCAGTAATATTTAACCAGAAAGATCGCTGCATTATGGTTCCCTCTTGGGGATTCTAAAATGTTACAGCTAGTGGCTAATTAGTCTTCTGTACCTCTTGGTGAGATAGATAAGCAGACTTGTCAGAGTGGAGATGATTTCTCCAAGATAACTGTACAATCAAAGGCAGTCAGGTATGCAAATCCAGGTTACTTTAGTGCTCAAGGTCATGCTGTCAGATTTAAATTTCTCATGCAACATCTTCTTTCCTACCTTTCAGCATCCTATCAAACAGGAGAGACTAGAGCCAGAAAAATGCTAAAGAATGATGGTTAAACTTGACTTATAACGAGGGACATTTAGCCTACCATTTGACTTTCAAGAAATGCTTTAGGGGAAAATGCTTTTTGGGTGTAAGTGCTGGATAAGATAGTGGTATATAGTATGAGTAGGTTGGGTTCAGGAGGGAAGCAGACTTTGT